TATATATATATATATATATATATATAATTTAACATAAAATCTAGAGAAAAATCTTAGATATGGTCTAGTTTAATTAATCCAGTATGTATTTGAAATTACAAAAATTCGCTTTTTCCCACAATTGGAGAAGGCGATATTAAATAATTGGAAGCACTTGATTGGTCTTATGTGATTGTAGTACAAATTATGGGAAAAAATCTAGAGAAAAATCTTAGATATGGTCTAGTTTAATTAATCCAGTATGTATTTGAAATTACAAAAATTCGCTTTTTCCCACAATTGGAGAAGGCGATATTAAATAATTGGAAGCACTTGATTGGTCTTATGTGATTGTAGTACAAATTATGGGAAAGAAGTGAAAGATGATGATGATGCTTAAGAGACGACGATTGGGTGATGACAATCGAGTGATGGCGATTGGGAGATGAGGTCAGGTGACGATAATCGAGAGCTAGTGATTAAGCTATTAAGCTCGAGTGATTCGGTTGGGAGATAATGGTTGGGCGACCTCGCAGGGGGGAGAGGGGGTGTTGGGCAACGACAATTGAGTGAAAACGGTTAGACGAAATAATCGGGCAATGATTGTTGGATGTCGATGAATGGGATATAGCGGTTGAGCAACAACAATGGGAGATAGCGGTCAAGTGATGACATTCGGGCAATGGCGGCTGGGAGATGGCGGTCAAAAGATGACAATTTGATGACGATAGTTATTAGTGATGATCATTGGCGTTGAATGACGGTCAAAGCTATAGAGCTCCTTAGATCTCTAAGCCCTCTCCAATTTCAAGTTAAGATCCCCTTTATATAGAGAATAAGAATTTATTTATAATTTTTAATAGTGACATTTTGATAAATTTGACCCAAATGTCATAATGCTCCACTGGATGACTCATGTAATGAATTATTTGATCATAGACTATTCTTTTAGCAATTAAGTGTATTAATGATCTTATAATTAAATGATCTTAGGCTCATTTGTTTTGTTTTATCGAGGTACTCAATTTTTCTATAAACATGAAGGATTTTAAGATCATTTGATACTTTAATTAATGCTCTGCAATTTTCTATCACATTTTAAATGCTTGATTTATACTTATTTGGACTTAGATTGGATCATTTTTTATGTCTTTGGGTTTATCTTATCGAGATGTTCTATTCAACTATAAATTTAGCTAAAATCTAAGTTTGGATGATCCTGAATTTAATTTTGGAAGTTTTAAATTTAATATTTCCTTAAGATTTGTATCCGATCAAATGATTTCTCATATGATGCATCAAGTCCGTAGATCAATCCACTAAAAGATTGATTGATATTCATCTATCCACCATCTTTTTTAGTACGGCGGGCATGAATAATATCCAAGACAAATAACTGGATCATTGAACATTTTGAAGAATAATTCCTCCAATTTCCTTGCCATGTGCTGGAGCCTCCACCCTAAAACTTGTTCTAGAGACAACTGAACACCTGCTACTATGGAGGTTGTCATCGAGATCAATCTTGATACGGAAGGAGCACAAATCACTGCTAGGCGCGCTAGCAAAGAAGCTGTCGAAGCCACCATTTTGTTCAATTAAGGACTCTACCTTGTCGAAATGCTCAATTTTTACCTTCTCCAAGGGAGGCATCTTTGTTGACGTTGACCGCTTTGCAGACAGTGAAGGCATTTGCTTCACAGCCTCCTTTTATTTCTTTTGAAGTTCATTAGCAACAACAAGCTTGAAATTGCTTGCAGTAACTCATAGGCAATTAAAACAAAATAATATTTATTGAAGCATTAGCAGCAAGATTTTTAAAATGAACGGAAAATCTTACATTTATAAATGTTAGTATTAATGTGTTAACCACAGGTCAAAGATCTATATATTTTGTAGAGTTGATACCCTAAATCAAATTTAATCATCCAAGTCGAATCGGGATTTTATTAACTTTTATTCTCCTTTCTTGGTTTCTTGGAAATGACGAGAGAATTGTGAAACTGATATACTCCTATATTTCTCTAGGTCAGATTGATCAAGTCATTATGAGATTCTGAACTTGATTCATCAAGTCATTGATTGTTAACTGGTTTGAGTTGCCTTTAACTCAAAACTTGTTGGCTCTATGTGCTGTGCTACTAGACTCGCCTAAGGTAGGGGTGTCAATATTTGACACGACACGACAACCCGACCCGGGCAGACCCGAAAAATTCGGGTTGGACCCGACCCGATTTCAAAACGGGTCGGGTTCGGGTTCCAAAAATCGACCCGTTTGAAAAATGGGTTGGGTTCGGGTTGACCCGATGGGTTGCCGGGTCAACCCGCGCGCGACCCCGCCCGCACTCGCCCAGCGCGACCAGCTTTCCCGGGTCGGGTCGGGTCGGGTCAACCCGGCAACCCGCCGGGTCGGATCCGGGTTGGCATTTCCAACCCGTTTACCTAACCGGGTCGGGTTAGGGTCGACCCGTTTGAACCCGGTTCAGTTCCGGGTCCGATCCGAACCCGACCCGTGACCCGAAATTGACACCCCTAGCCTAAGGGACTCATGAGTCACTTATTTGCCAAGACTTTTCTCCTGAAGAACTTGACAACTTGTTCAGAGTATGTGCTCGCCAACTAGAAGTTCTTGCCATAAGAACTCATTAAGAGTACTATCAACTATTCAGAACTCGTACAGAACTCCAAACTCGTAGTAAACTATAAGCCCAATTTGCCAGCTAAATAGCTAGTCACAAGAAGTTCAATTTATGTACTTGCCATGCGATCATACTATGTAACTTTATAACATTGATTTTGATCCTTATCTATAAAAAGAGGTTTAGCATTCAAGCTCAAATGTCATGCAATTTTATATAATGAGCTAAAATTTTATTACATCATAGTTTCATGCTGAATCTCTCTAAGATTCTTTTCAGAATCACTATTTTTCTCTGGATTTTCTTTTTAGCTCGGTTTGATTCATCTTTCTCAGTCAATGTGGTTCAATTGAGCCTAATATTTCACTTTAATATTTTTTTAACCTTTTGGGTTTGATTCATATTTCTATTAAGATTTTGACATCTTTCCACATATAACATTGAATCAACCCTACTGCACCACTTTTAGATTGTTCTTTGTTTCTAGTTAGGTACAGTTGTACAAGTACTTTTTCTTTAAGTGATTCTAGACTATCGTTGTAAGACTTGTTTAGAGGCCATTTTATGCCTTCTATTTTAATAAGAGCATTTTAGTAGTGCTCTTGGCTTTTAGACTTTCTATAGTTTCCAATAAACTGTGTATAAGTTTATGATAGTTCTAAACTTGGAGAATCTGAAATAGTAGCTTATTGATTGTAAACACTTGAAGATCTTAAGTGAAAACCTATCAATCTTGGAAAAACAGCGGGGAATATTCACAAAACTCTGAGGAAAAACTAGAAAACAACAATGTTATTGCAATAATCAAAGATAATGGAAGGAAAATACCAAGATACAGTTGATCCTCAATTCGAGAGGAGGGTCTATCTTTCCCAATCCCTAGATGCCGCTAGAGCTCAAGACTCCAAGCACCGAGAACACAAAATCAGCCACAATTCTCAGATGTCCTAACCCTAATACAAACTCCTACTTAAAGAAAATACAAAAATAATATAAAATGACTAAACAACTCTCAAACAATTAGCCCTAGGTAGTGGACCCCAGACCAAGTGGGGCGGGATTTGGTGCCTGTGGACCAGCAGGCTTGCTGCCTACTGTTTTACAGGAGCCGGCCCACAAGTTGTGTCGGCTAGACTGGTCCAGGGTGGACCGGTACAAGCGTATCACATATTTCATGGGCCTTGTTGCTGACAACATAGGTGAGAAGAAGTGTCGCGAAATCAATTTTCAACGGCCGAACATCCTTTTGTGCATAAATTTTAGCCTGCATTGCTTACATTGATAGCTTCCAAATTCTACCTTTTTAATAGCTAACATGCTGCCAATTAATTTACTATTTTCTTGCAGAATATAATAAACAAAGCATTCTGTAATTGTCTCTCAAACTTTTGTTGCTTGGTCTCTATACAATGTCCTTTCAGGAAGTAAATAATGTATATATGGCTTTACAGATATTCCACAATAATTTTACTATCAGCTTTACCTGAATCAACTATTTGTTGATTTTCCCCTCTTTACTACATGCTGAAATCCAAAGATTTATGCTCACAAATTTGTGGTATTTACTATAGTATAAACATTCATTAGGTTTTGATAAAATATCAAACTTACATCCTTGCTGCGATCTCAACATTATGAATAATTTTGTCCAGTCTTCAGGTCTACTCGTCCACGTTAATCTTATCTGGAGGAATCTACTCCCACAATCTACTTTGATCAATTTAATAACCTCCTCCAAATTAACAATTTTTCTTTGTACTCTTTCTATTGAATCAGGGCTATGAGTTATTTAAGATTTCGTTTGGAACGACTTTTTAACTGCTTTTAAAGCAGTTTTTTAGTCCCAAACGAAAGGCTCGTTTGGGACGGCTTTTTTATTGCTTTCTAAAACAGAGTTTTAGTATAAATTTTTTTATTTTTGTACTTAAACTCCGTTTTAGAAAGTAATAAAAAACCCGTCCCAAACGAAGCCGAAGCCTAAGTTGGCGGAAAGCAGTAAAACTGGTATTGTGTTTTTTTGTTGGGGCAAGCATAACTTATTGCATAGCAAACTGGAGTTCCAACACAAAAAAAAAAAAAAAAAAAACCTAGCTTTTAGTAATGTAGCGCAGTTTACTCTAATGGGTAATTAGTTGCTTCAAATTTGGTGTAAACTGCAACGGGAAAACAGAACAAACAGGAAGAAAAAGAATAAAAATAGAGGATAGAGGGAATTCTAGATTAAGAGAGGAAGAAGTAGGGCTGCAAGCGAACCAAACGTTCGACGAGCTTGTTTATGATTGTTTAATTAGCTAAACAAACAAACTTGAACAATATTTTAAATACTCGATTCTTAAATAAACAAACTTGAACACTAATGCGTTCAGCTCATTTATGTTCGCGAACAACATCATTTGAAGTTCGTGAAAAAGCTCAACATTAAGCTCGATAAGAAGCTTGATTCGTGTTCGATTTTGAACACGTGAATAGGCTAGATAAAAATAATTAATATTTGACTATAAAATTAATAAATATAAATAATCATTGCCTTTGTTACATAGACAATTGCTTTTATTATAAATGTGTTTGTTCATAGATATGTTCATGAACGTATTTGTTTGATAGTTAAAAAAGATTCGTTAAACATGTTCGCGAACAAACTCGATAAGCACTAAATGAACGAATATGAACTGAACATGAACCGAACATGAATACTCATTAATTTAAATGAACCAAACATGAACACAAACAATAAAGCTCGAACAAACATGAACCAAACATGAACAAGCTGATATTAAATGAACACAAACATGAACACTCATATACTCGGCTCAGTTCGGTTCGTTTGCAGCCCTAATGTAAATTAAAAAAAAAGGGGGATTTACATACATACCACTATATAACACTTATATTACATATTTAACACCTTAAATTTAAATTTTTCATTTTTACCACTCAAATACAAACATAAAATCAAAAAATACCACTCCGTAGGCACAAAACTCACTCCGTCTGTTTCGTCCCTGTGAGCACTGCTTTCTCGCGAAAGCTGCATCAACCCCCAACGCAACTGCTGCAATTGGATTCCTCTTCCCAGCGAACTCCTTTGCTTGTCGTTTTCTCCACCGGTTTAGGGTTTCCTCAACAAAACAACAATGAAATCCCAGTAAAATCCGCTTCTTAGTGAATGTTTTAATGTCTCTAATTGAATGTCGTCAAGATCTGGATGCTTCTTGTCTTAATTAATTCTGTTTCAGCTAGCTCAGTGGGCTGATTCCATATATTGTTTTTTTTTTCCTTTTTGTGTTGAAAGCTTGCGAAGCTGCACTTAATAAATTTGTTGTTTTATGGTTCTTTTAACCCGACAGAGAAGTAAAACAAAAATATTCTCTTCCTTATCACCATATAAATCATTTCCTTCTTCATTATCACATTCCATTCTTCAATTTCGATCTGAAATAATAAGACTAGGAGCGGAAATTGGTCACAGGAGACGGGAAATCTGTCGCAAGAAAGCACCATAGGAAGCTATTGCATAAGGAGGCGGGAAAGTCACGCTAGGTCCAGGAAGAGGGCGGGAAGATACGCATGCCGCGAGGGAAGGAATAACGCCGTGATATCCAAATACACGGAGTGGTATTTTTGATTTTATGTTTGTATTTGAGTGGTAAAAATAAAATATTTAAGTTTGAGGTGTTAAATATGTAATATAAGTGTTATATAGTGGTATGTATGTAAATCCCCATATATAGTAGCATATATGGAATCAGCCCACTGAGCTAGCTGAAACAGAATTAATTAAGACAAGAAGCATCCAGATTTTGACGACATTCAATTAGAGACATTAAAACATTCACTAAGAAGCGGATTTTGCCGGGATTTCACTGTTGTTTTGTTGAAGAAACCCTAAACCGGTGGAGAAAACGACAAGCAAAGGAAGGAGTTCGCTGGGAAGAGGAATCCAGTTGCAGCAGTTGCGTTGGGGGTTGATGCAGCTTTCGCAAGAAAGCAGTGCTCACAGGGGACGAAACAGACGGAGTGAGTTTTGTGCCTACGGAGTGGTATTTTTGATTTTATATTTGTGTTTGAGTGGTAAAAATGAAATATTTAAGTTTGAGGTGTTAAATATGTAATATGAGTGTTATATAGTGGTATGTATGTAAATCCCCCAAAAAAGGAAAAACCTTCCTAATTAAAACTTTCCTAAGCACCAAAGCTACTTCGCTAAAACCTTCTTCCCGGAATCACAGGCAGGTCGAAGCTGCTTCCATCCCCAAACCTTCTTCTTCTCAAACAGAGTCTCCCACTTCTCACAACGCCGCTGCCCTTCCATTCTCCGCAACCGAAACTCAAACAAAAAGCAATCATTACTGCCAATCACCTTCTTCAACTCCTCAACAATATACAACCCATCATAGAAAAATATCGACGCCGTATTCCGCTTGAAATACCTAATTCCATATATTACTCTCACCGGCTTCTTCGCATCCATACTCCTCTTCAGCGCCAGATTCCCTTTCTCCATTTTCTGATCCTTCGGCTCCACCTTTCTCCCACCAAATCCTCCCATGCCGATATACGAAAGCAATCCATCCGATACGTTCCAGCTATCCAAGTACCTGTCGGAGACAACGATGCTAGTGGCGAAACCGGTGACGGTATCGTAGTCAATACCATTCTCCGGCGGGCGGTGGAGGCGGATTATGGCGAGTTCAATGCGGTAGATGAACTCGTCTCCGACCTCGACGCCTGGTACGTCGCCGACGAGCGGTGGTGGAGGGTGGTCCGGCAACCGACCGTTGGCCTTTAGGATGTCGGCAGCCTTCAGATCCACTCGCCGGATTGGAGCGATCGCCGCCAGGCATGGATCTGCACGGAGAGAGAGATGGCGACAGAGGGAGCGAAAGAGACGGAGAGTATGGTGGATAGTATTGGCCGCATCGGAATCTCCATCGCTTTCTCGCCGCCGGATCGCCGTGGAAGAAGAGCGCATAGCTGGAGAGGAAAGAAATAAATTCAAATTTTGAAAACCGGAGTATATGGAAATTAAGAAATAGATATTGAAGATGAATTACTAAATTTTGAATAGTTACTGTAATTTGGAATGAAAAATGAGATTTTACGGTTGGAGATGATCATACAAGTCATAGCAAATTCATGGCAAATTCATGATCTCAATAACTAATAATATTTTTGATTAAAATAGATTCAAGAAAGCCACTGTTAATGAAATTGTTATCCTATTAACTAATGATATTTTATAGAAAAAAATTTATAAAAGTAGCCAATAATGTTATCTATGTTTAAGAAAAAAAATAATTGTTTTTTATTATAAATTGTTAATCTTATAGATTTATTTAAAATGGAAAGCTTATAATTTCAATATTAGGATATTGGAGAACAACAAAATTCTCAAAAATAAAAACTGTAATTTGAAATGAAAAATGAGATTTTTCGGTGGAGATGGTCATACAAGTCATGGCAAATTCATGGCAAATTCATGATCTCAATAACTAATAATATTTTTGATTAAAATAGATTCAAGAAAGCCACTGTTAATGAAATTGTTATCCTATTAACTAATGATATTTTATAGAAAAAAATTTATAAAAGTAGCCAATAATGTTATCTATGTTTAAGAAAAAAAATTAATTTTTTTTATAAATTGTTAATTTTATAAATTTATTTAAAATGGAAAGCTTATAATTGAAATATTAGGATATTGGAGAACAACAAAATTCTCAAAAATAAAAATAATTGAAGTTTTCCGTGAAATTTTTTGAAAAAGATATACAAATTTACAAGATCTTTGCATAAAAAATATTTGACCAAAATTCTAAGAAATGACACAAAAACCAGCAAGGTAGTCTTCCAAAAATAAAAGTTAGAATATTGGACAATTTTTTGATATTTTTAGCAGCTAATATTACAATTTTATGCTATAAAATTTTTTTAAGACCGGATATATTTTCAAATGACATAAACTTCAAGTTCAATAATAAAGACCAAATGACAAATCTCCAAAATATTTAATTGATCGGGTGCTTTGCACATGAATTTTTTTTTTTGTACAACGTCCCGGCACTGTACACCCGAGCGCCACGACGCTATGTTCCTGAGTGCCCAGTGCTAAACCACAGAGAGCATAGCGCTGCAGTGGTATAAATACGGCGCTGCAACCATGCAAGACAAAGGCTTGAGCACCGCATTTTCTGGACCCGAACCCGACCCGCTTCGGGTTCGGGTCAACCCAAACCCGAAATTTTTGGGTCGGGTTCGGGTCGAGTTTTCGGGTCGGGTCCAATATTGACAGGTCTAAGGTTGGATATTGAAAATGGTGTATGTGAGAAGAGAAGCAAGGGGAGAGTGAGAGAGAAGAGAGATGTGTACTTCTTTTTCCTGATTTTCATAGTGTATTTCTTGTTGTAGCATGCCTCCATTATTTTTTCCTTATTTTGAGTTTTTCACGTTAAATCATGATGTCCTTTACGTTTTTGCCGCTTTTACTTTCTTTCTTATTTCGTTGTTGTGGTGTTTACTCCTCATCATCACCAACAAAATTGAGGCCATTATATTCCAATTGGAGGAAAATATTGCTAAATCAAATGTCAACTACTACATATTGGACATCTAATAAAATTTTTAAGCATTCAAATACATTTCAAGATTGCTCTTACATGAAGATGAAGAGTTATTTATTCCTAATAAATTGATTGCAAACATCAATCAAGCCTATATATTAATGAACGAAGAAGCAAATATACGAAGACTAACAAATAAAAAAAATCATTTTAAAGCTACATATATACCTCATCATCCCAACAAAATTGAGGCCATTATATTCCAATTGGGGGAAAATATTGCTAAATCAAATGTCAACTACTACATATTGGACATCTAATAAAATTTTAAGCATTCAAATACATTTCAAGATTGCTCTTACATGAAGATGAAGAGTTATTTATTCCTAATAAATTGATTGCAAACATCAATCAAGCCTATATATTAATGAACGAAGAAGCAAATATACGAAGACTAACAAATAAAAAAAATCATTTTAAAGCTACATATATAGCTACTGAATATATATGACGTCAACCCGACCTCCATCATGATCATTAAGAATGTTGGCAAAATGTAGATGACAAGTTGAAAATAAAGCATCACATGTGCTAAACCCAAAGTTGTGAAAATCGGACCGGAAAACGAATCGGTATAATGAGAGGTTCACAGTTCGACCAATTCAATCGGTGAAATCAGGGTTGAACAGGATGACGTAATAAATAATATTATTATAAAAATTAATAAAATTAACATGCCAACTTAATCTAAAAATTAACATTATAATGATGCCAACTTAATCTAAAGATTAAATATATATATATATTAATAGTATTAATATATATGACTAAATACTATATATATATCATTATACTGCGTTAGAAGTCACTATATATATATTGGTTACAGAAATTTATAAATAATACTCTTAATAAATAATTATATATTTATTATTGATATATTTAAATATAAAGAATTAACACAATTTTTAAATTAATTTAAATATATTCAATCTTTGATTTTAATTTATATTTAATAAAAAATTAGTTTATATGTAAATATATATTTAATATAAATAATTACTAATTTATATTATATATTTTGGTATAATTTTACATCTATAAATTATATATGCTTTCACATTATAAACTATATTTATAACATCAATATCAAATATATTTTTTTTAGATTTATATTCTTCTTAATATCATTAATTTACATTTAGAAAGAAGATTTTAGAACTTTAAAAATTATAAATAATTTTTTTTATTGAAATAATTACAAAATAATTATGTATTTTAAAAACTTCAAAAAATTATTATGATATTATTTTTATTTGAATATTTCATACATAAAATTTTCCAACAAATTCACTTAGAAATATCATTTGCACGTCATTCGTTGAAATTAGAATCACTACTTTTGTTAATATCCAACATTACTATGGAGAGCTTTAATGTTTTGATGTTTATATACTTTTCTTGTAATTCATAGGTATGAACCCACATGGGGTGAAGGAACATGTGAGAATGATGGACTAGTATTTAATATATAGAACATTATAAATGTTTTTAGTTTTAAAAATAAATATCTATAATTTTTTTTTAAAATTATATCATATTTAAGTAATTTAATATTTCAATAAATTATTTTTATATTAAATAAAATTATTTAAATATATTATTAATGAATATGATATCGGTCGGCATTAAACCGTGTCAAGGTCCCGGAATTTTAAGAACAGACCGGTTCAACGGTGGGGTTGAACTGGTTCAAACCGTTTTCACCGGTTTAATCTAGGCCGATTTTCCAAGAGGACGAACTAGCCATATGACCAGTTCAAGGTTGATCGGTCGGTCCGGATCTGATTTTCAAATTAAAAAAATCATCGGTCAGTCTCCAATCCGAACTCTATACCGATGTTTGGCTGTCTGCGAACTACTCAATCAAAACACCTCCAATCTTTTGTGTCGCACTGTGTTCGCGCAACTGTGACAGCAATTATTATGGGAACAAAATAAAACGAGAGATAGAACCGTAGAAAGTCTAGTGCGTGGAGTTCGTGTTTAGAAAGAATATATACGAAATGCTCTTTTTTTGATGTTAAGAATAGAGTGTATTTTTAATATATATATATATATATACTATATTATATATATATAATATTGTTTTTTTTTTTTTTTTTTTTTACATAATATTACGTTTCTAAAACTTAGACGACTGTCCCATCTCAACACCATCACAATCTCTGTACTTGCAAACATATAAACATCATCGCGGCTGCAAAAAAAAAAAAACACTTGAACTATTTTTTTAAATAATAACAAACTAAATTTACTAATATTACTAATGTAAAATTTCAAATAATAAACAAAATCAACTTCTCCTATCCTAAAATTCGGGACGACCAAGTGTGCTAGACGCGACGAGAGGTCCTGTATTTGCCAGTGGTACTAGTGATGTGCCAAGTTCAATGATGGAATTTGAGGAGTTGTAGCATAACGTCGACAAGAGAACTAAAAATCTGTATAGAAGGACATTATTTCGTGAAAGGTTGGGGCTGGAAGTTTCCGTTCTAAATCAAGAGTACAATGTCAACAATTTTCGTACACATTTGATTCAAATTATGTACACACTTGTTTGCATGCACCCAATACTAAAAGTTCCGACATAAACTTTCCGTGAAGGACCGCACATAATAGTTTTCATAGAAAAGAACATCAATATTGTATGGGTGGTGATAAAGACCTAAAAAAAAGATCAATGGAGGTCATGGTAGGTGAAGAAGAAGATGCCTAGAATCTCCTTTCTTACCATAAGTATCGGAAAAGTAGTATTCTATTGCTAGTTAAATTTTAAATATTGAATGAGTTAAATAGTAAGTTTAGTTATTATATAGGGAATTCAAATTACTTTAGGTTTATGTATGTAAATTAGGGCTGCAAGCAACAAACGTTCGATATTAAATTCGCTCGCAGCTAGCGATGGGCGGGAGCAGGCATCTCAGAGAGTTACACGTAAGTACCAGTCGATATATAATAGGCTTAAATACGAACTACAACCTCTCGAAACACTAATTCTATATTTAATACTCGATTCTTAAAATAAACAAACTTGAAACACTAAATGCGTTCAAGCTCATTTAATGTTCCGCCGAACACTCATTTGAAAAGTTCGTGAACAAGCTCGACATTAAGCTCGATAAGAAGCTCGATAAAAGATTGATTCGTGTTCGATTTTGAACTCGTGAATAAGCTAGATAAAAATAATTAATATTTGACTATAAAATTAATAAATATAAATAATCATTGCCTTTGTTACATAGACAATTGCTTTTATTATAAATGTGTTTGTTCATAGATATGTTCATGAACGTATTTTTTTGATAGTTAAAGAAAATTCGTTAAATATGTTTGCGAACAAGCTCGATAAGCACTAAATAAACGAACATGAACCGAACATGAACACTCATTAATTTAAATGAACCAAACATGAACACAAACAATAAAGCTCGAACAAACATAAACCAAACTTGAACAAGCTGATATTAAATGAACACAAACATGAACATTCATATACTCGGCTCGGTTCGGTTCGTTTGCAGCCCTAGGAAGAAGGGAAGTCAGAATCAGTTGGGATATTTTCTAAAATGTCCAAAAAAATTGCTGCATGCGTCCCCATCATCCTTTCAGTGGCTACAGGCCTACCGATAATGACTATAGCTTGAACTAATTACTATTACTCAGGCAAACAAATTTAAGCTAAAACAAAAACAATTAAAGCTTGAAAGGTTGTTGAATGCGCAAGTCAAGGCTGATAAGTCTGAGCTGGTTGCATCAAAATTGAAGTTTGTTCTGTCCTGGCTCTAGCTTGCCATAACTTTTGAAGTGGACGTTGCCCTTCATGTGGGTCATGATAGCTTAATATAAATTTATTTATGATGATTTTTTTATTTTATTGAATTTATTTCAAGATAGATATAATATTTGATTAAATAATTAATATTATATATTATATTTATTTAAAAATAAATTTAATACAATAATATCAAGCTTTTATCTCACTACATGGGGTCAGTTTTATGAATATTTTTTCTTCATTGTTTACTGTTAAGAGTAAAATTCTAATTTAAATCTAATAAAAAAATATTATTTTTAATATTTTCTAATAATATTTTTTAGATCTACCTCTATCTTTTTTAACATAAGTTAAATATAATATATCTACTCTCCTAACCGGGTCTTCAAAATGCCTCTTCTTAATATGATCAAATCATCTAAGCTGACTCTCTCTAATTTTATCTTCTATCAGAACTATTCCAATCTTTTCACGGATATTCTTATTTTGATTTCTATCTCTAAATATTATTTTTTTTTTCTGGATGGAGTAAAGATGTGGGGTGGGTGGGGTATATATTGAGAGAGGACACCATAAGTACTATCATTTTATTTTTATTTGCTTAGTTTTATATTTCAAACCTGCTTTACTTGTGGAGCTAACCTTGTCGCTATAACCATATGAAAACTTTTCTAGAAGATGGAGAGATTTTACTTTCCATCATCTTGGTTTTGTTTTGTTTAATTTACATTTTTGATATATTTTACATGTTCAATCAATCTTGTGCTAAGCCATATTATAATGCTTTTTTAGATGAGGGGGGATGCATAGATATTTAGTTCCATCATTTTCATTTCATTTTCTTTAGTATTTACATTTGGGCCCTACTTCACATGTTGAGCCAACCTTTGGTAAGAGAAAATTACATAACGAATTATTTTTTTTATTTGGAGGAATACCAATTTACTAGAATTTGAATAAGATTGTATGCTTTAAGAAGGATGTAAATTGAGATAAAGTATCGCTCGGCAAGTTGACTTCTATTATGCACTTTGTGTTCATTATTTGGAGAAATTAGTAGGTGCGAATGACATATTTAACACTACATGCATCCATCAAATACAAAATCATGCTGTACAAAAATTTTTACGCATTCGCAATTGTGTTCATGTTAGTATTTGAAGCATATAGAGTTGCTTTTGTTGTTTTTAGGTAATGACTTTTCCACTATTTGAGGCTTTCTAGAAGCACAAATTCCAAGTTAAGTATTCTTCCTCATTATATAGACATTTTGTTTTAAGACTATTCATTGTGTTCTACGTAGATTCATTGCAATACATTTTCATACTACTCGACCTAATGTGATTATTGAGGGAGAAGATGTGGTTCATGGGCTCAAAGGAGATTTAGGGATTGAATAATGATGATCAATTCAATCAAGATCTCATAGTTCCATTATTTTATTTTTGTTATGAACACAAGTTTTTTTAGTCAATGATGATAGTCAACTCATCCTTGATTTAAAGATCCTTGTCAACGAAAAGGATTTTGTTATACAATATGACATTATAGGCCTAGGGGAAACTCCTGAACTAGGCCAATTTGAAAATCGATATTAGCTGACAAAGAGTTTTATGTCTTATTGAGTAAATATGGCTTACAAGTCGTAAACTTGAATATTCAAAGATATTTTGGATTTTCCCTTTGTTGGATTATTGTGATTTAAAAGCATGTTTTATGTATGATCAATTCACCTAAAGGGACTTGCCTCATCCTTATGTGAGATTTTGAGTGTGATAATACAAATACATTGAAATGAGACATTGAGTTCTTTATTAGCTCTAATCAAATTTTGAATTTGCTGCCCTTAGCAAGCCTAAAGGTGACTGACTGGTGGTTTGGTAGCTAGCTACTCTCACTGCATCACGTGCTTTATGGGCTTTGTAATATTTTGATTATTTACCCTTAACTTAACCTTTTATTTAAAAAAATTACCTTTCCAACTAAATAATGAAGGCAAATATTATAAAAAAAACTTATTAAAAGATATTTGTAATTTAAAAAAAAATGCAAATAGGCCTATTGCTCTTAAAGGAAAAGTTATTACGTCCCGACAAAAAAATCGGAAATCTGGACAAATATCGAGCAATATTGAGTGCTTGATACCGAGCAACCAAGTGAAATGACGCTTTGTTATTGGTTTCTGGACACGTTCGGTGTCCGGACACAATAATTACTCCCCTTAAAGGGCACTTTTAGGCATTGCAATTTGAAAGCTGCCATAGTAGACGACTTGTGTGGCAATTTAAATTTTATTTGGGATAATTTTTTATTACTTTGTTTTATATTATAATCATAATTTTTATTTGATCACTGCCTTTTTCTTGCTTTCAAAAAAAATTTATGCAAGAAAATTGCTTTTTATAATAGTTTAAAAAAGTTATTTTTGTTATACCAGTTGTACAAAGCAGCAAGAAAATCATCCCAAACCTTGAGTTCTCTTGAAAGGGCAACCAGGCTCGGAGGCTCCCATTCATGCTTCCTAAGATCATTTTTTTTTCAGTCAATAAGAGTTGTTTGACCCGCTTTAACGAGCTGAATCCATTCATGCAGTTCGTTTGTTGATTGTACCCTTCTTTCAAAATAGTTTTAGGGGTTGTTTGATAAGCTAAGAAGGAATGCAGTGTAAAATGAATATTTTGAAGTTGTTTGAATGAGTGCAAAATAAATTCAATGAATGATTTTTTTTTTATTTGCAGTAAAATGAACGTAACGTAAAATTTAAAAATGGTGGCCGAGGGCTCGTGACAGCGACAGCAGAGGAGCACGCAGGTGGCAGGCTGTGGGCGGCAGCAGTGGAGGCGATGGTGACTGGTGGCGGTGGTGGACGGACTCTGGCGGCAATCGGTGGCACTTAAGCGAGTTTCCTTGCAGTGTAAAGCGTTCTTACTCAAAAATGGACGAATTTATTTTACCTCAAAAATGAACTAGAATGATTTACACTATATTTAGTTTACTTTTGAAACTTTTTTTCCATCTAAAGTATTCCAAATAAACACTAATTTTTTTAAAATTCTTACATTTGATTCCAACCAAATAGCCCCTTAATAGCTTTAATTTTTTACCGTACAATTTACAAGTAATTTTCATGCATGCAGCTTTATTTGAATAGTTTCGATGAATTGTACGCATATGTGCAGAACACAACTATATAACACAATTGATCTAAACAAAAAATTATTATTATTTTTTCTTTTGCTCTTTTTTTTAACATTTTCTTTTTGCCAAAGCGAAATTTATTTATTAATTTTCTTTTATGAATATTTTTTGGAGTATTGTGGTACTCAATTCAGCAATATATACATAAAAAAGAAGAAGAAAAAAAAAAAAGAATAGCTTGATTAAATTTGGTTTAGGAAATGCTAGCTTGATAAAATATACTGAGCAATGATGAATTATGAATTACATATATAGTTGGGGAAGAAAAATTCGGATAAATTTATATAATTAGAAATGAACAACAACAAGAAGTCTTTGGACAAAACAAATGAAAAAGCCAAAAAATATGATAACCATGAAGCCTTGAAGAGAATGATAAAATGGTCTAACTTTTTATAAAATATCAAAATAATTTCTGGCTATACTAAAGGATTATTTTGAAATTAAAATAGTGTTATGGTGGAATTATTTTGATTTTTTTAAAAGAGTTGATGGATTAAAAAAAAATTAATATAGGTGGAGATTATTTTGATATTTTATAAAGAGTTTATGGGTCATTTTGATCATGTTCTCTTATTTTTATAAAGGAGAAATTGTTTGGGATCAATTTTTGTTTTTTCTTTTATTTTTGGACTTTTTATTTTGTAATTTTATTTATTTTTAAAAATAATTGAGATTATTTTTAAAATATTTAAAATGATTTTTAGTGTTTTTAAGTTATTTTTATTATCTTTAAAATAAAAAGCACCCTGACTACATGAATCTTTTTTTCTCCATTATGTCCGGTTAAAAGTCGAATTCTCGTTTAATTCTAATAAGGGAAAATCATTTTTAATATTATCTAACCAAATCTTTTAAGGTCTACCTCTACATTTCTTAACGTAAGTCAAATCTGATACCTCTACTTTTCTAACCTGGTCATTGAAATGTGAAATTATTTTGTGCAGACGTTGAAAGTCGTTCGGAGACCAATCAGAATGCGTCATGTCACCCTCTGTTTAGTACTCGGCTCGGTACTGCTTGATATCGCAGCTTGGTACCGTTTGATATCCGGCTCGATACAACTGATGTGGCGTATTATGATTGGTTTCCAGACGGTGAACTGATTCGACGTTCGTACAGAATAATCTCTCAATTGGCATCACACCATTCTATATGACTACTATTTGCAATGCCTAAACAATTACTAATCAAAAACAAATACAACATGCATCTCCCTGTGATCTATTAGTCGGGAGCTTTGACAATCAACTAAGAGATTTTGAGTTAGAAGTTTGTATATGTGATGTATATATGAGTTTACCTTAATTGACTTAAAAAGTTACCAAAAAAAATTAAATAAATATAATAACACAACTAAAGCCAATGGCATTGAAATTGATTACAAAGAAAAACCATGACACTCGAAATTTGGATTAATTATTATGTGCAGACGCCGAACGCCGTCCGAATACCAACCAAAATGCGCCACATCATCTATTTGTTGTGTACCGCGGCTCGGTACCGCTACGTGGCTGCACCTGATTCGTCCCCGGACGTAAAGCTATGTCCAACCTCCGCGCAAAATAATTTCTCCGAAAGCTGAAACCCCACCTACATTTTTGAATCCTCTAAAATTATGAAGAACACGGCACTTAAGATCTCAGTCATATAATTCAGTTCAATTTGAATAACTACAACTGAATCCAATCTTCATATGTTCGATCGGATTCAAATCATCCAAATTGAATTGTATTCTATGACTGGAGTTCCAAACCGTATGAATACAAATTTCATCTTATTGATAAAGAACACAAACCCCCCAACCAATATCATATATAGCCATCAATTCAAAACCTATCTGAACCAGATTTCCAGTGCTTCGCCTTCTCAAACCCGTTCTTTCCAAGCCTATAATCCTCCAAAGTTTGCTGTATCTCCTTCTGGGAATTCATAACAAATGGCCCGTACTGAACCACCGGCTCATTGAGCGGTTGCCCGCCGATGAGCACAAAGCGCAGCGGCCGCCCTGACTTGTTCCAAACGTTCAATCCATCGCCATTGCTAAGAATCAGAACATGATGGCTTGAGATCGGCGAGGTTTCCTCGTCGCCGAACACGCCTTCTCCATCGATAATGTATATGAAGGCGTTCCATTCTTGTGGGATTAGTTGCCGGAGCTCAGCTCCAGGCTTCATGGTGAAGTCAAGGTACATTGTTGGAGTTCTCGTGTAGACTGGAGAGCTGACGCCGAAGGCCTCCCCTGCTATGATGCGAACGTCGACACCGTTCTTGTTGACTCTGGCTATGTCTTTGCTTAGGAGCTCTTGGTAGTTTGGTTCCACCCTGCAGATTTGGGAGATGGCCGGTGGTGAAAAATATTAAATATCTTAAAAAAATCGTAGTCAACGTTAATTTTTCTAAATAAAGTTATTATGCTTAAATCAAATGTAATTGAAGAAATATAATATATTTAATAGATAATATCACAATATTAGCAACATTATTATATAGTATAAGATTTTTTATTTTTTTATAGAAACTAATAAGATTGTTATTTACAAAGCATTGAATCGAAGAGCCGCTTGGCTAACAATGGAGGAGAAGGGGGAAAAGGATTGAGAAGATTACATTTTGTCTTTGGAGGAGAGGTTGATCCAAAGTTGGAGGCCTTTTTGAACTCCGTCGCCGGCGGGCATTTCTGAGTGGACTATTCCCCGGCCGGCAGTCATCCACTGGAGATAGGAAGATGGGGTGAGGAAGAATTTGATATAATTTGATTGGTTGCTGTAAAAATTTGTTCTTGTTGTTTTGCTTGTTTTGTAGAGAAATGGAGGAGGAAAGAGTCAATGATTACCTGGAGATCGCCGGCTCTGATGGTTCCCTTGTGACCGGAAAAGTCTTGGTGGGTGAAGGCGCCCTGACATTGAGCAAAGAGACAAATTATTAGCTTCTTTTTTGAAGAAAGTTGATTGATTTCTTTCGTAAAAATTGGTTTACCTCAAGCATGTAAGTTACAGTCTCGAAACCTTGAAGAAGAAGATTAAAAACAGAGAAGAAGAGATTCCTTTTAGTAAACTGGATCTTAAGAAAACGAATTAAAGATTCTTTTTTGTTTGCATTTCTGACCTCTGTGAGGGTGATCCGGAAATCCAGCTGGGCGAGAAACTGCAAGTTTTAAAGAAAGCTAAATCATCAGCTACTAATCACTAGAAACAGAGAAAGAGGAGAAGGAGAAAACGTACCAGAGAATTCATCGAGAAGAAGAAAAGGATCAAAATTTCTCAACTCTGGCCTGAGAAACAAAAAAGAAAGAAAGCCCAATTGAGAAAAAGCTCTAGAAACAGAACAACATAGAGAACTAAAAAGGGGGAAGTACCTTCCAATGCTTCGCCGAACATTAGCGCCATCACCTTCTTGCTGTTGCTTGGCCAGTACCTTTTTCACCACATGTCTCGGTTTCTGAAGCTCCAGGGCTTCATAATCCTCAGCGATTTGATCGGCTGAAGCTCTCGACATGACGGTGGTGAAGCTCTTGCTCTGTTCTGAAAGAAAAGGTTTCGCTTTGGGGAAGAAGAAGAATGGAGGAGAGCAGAAGAATGCCGCGATGAGAAAAGGAGAAGACAAGAGAACGATGTTTTTCTTATTTGGTGTTCTACGGAAGAGGAGATGGGCTTTTATAGGGAAGAAGCGCGGCCTCATCATGCCCATCACCATGATCTAACCTCTTAACGAATGATTCTAGAGGGAGAGAGGGGCGGTTAGAGATAGAGAGAGAGAGGGTTTCTTGTTCCTCTTCCACTTCCACTTCGTAAATATATGTGTAAAGCTTTTCTTTTTGGAAGTTATTGAAGGCGAGTTGGCAGGTGGGAGAGGAATAAAAAGAACAAAATTTATAAAATAAACGTAAATTGGTAGGAAAGAGAATTGGAAGCTTGGTCTCTCTCTCTCCTCCTCCTCTCTCTCTCTCGGCTTCATGGCCTAGAAGTGATGACATCATTCTCACGTCATAATGAGGTGGGCACCCCTTCAACCAATCGAACGAGAACTCTAAACAAAAGAATTATTAAAAAAATTGGATGACTAAGGATCTTGGGAGAATTGCTGCTTTAATTTTTTTAAAAGTAATTATAAAATTGTTATGGTAAAAATAAATTTTAATGCAATTTTTTTAAGAAAAATTGTAATTTCAATTTGAAAAGCAAAACAATAAAAAAGTTATTTGAACAAAATAAATTTCAAAATTATTAAATTATTTTAATATATTTTAATAAATAATTTTGATCAATTATGCATATAATATACTCATATTAAAATTAATTTAATAATTGAGATTTATATAATTTTGAACTATTATATTTATAAAACTTAATATTGCACACTGAAATAGAAGTTTACATTTATTGATTTATAATTTAATTTTAACAATTTTGGTATATGTCTTTTTCTATCAGTTCTTATAGTTATTATATAATATCAGTTAATTGATGTCAATAAAAAGAACATTTCATTACTTTAAAAGCTACTTTAGAAATAGACATATTTTACTGTCACTAAATTAAATAAATATCTTTTTTAGAATGAACTTCAAAATATTTAGATCTATTTTGAGATAGATATAATATATAAATAATTTATATTATAAAAATTAAAATTATTTTATTTAATAATGATCAAATATTCTTGATCCAAATAAATGCTTTTAGAACCTCAATATTCATTATGGAATTACATAGAGAACAAATTAATAGAAATATTGATAAAAGTGCTAGTAATTAAGGTTGTTTGTGCAAAGATATAAAAGTGCTTCAATTTATTTTTTACATTTAAGGATAAAGTTGTTAATATTATTGGATTTTAAAGTTTATTTAATTCATATAATTAAAAGTAATTATAATAAGCTTAAGAGTTACTTTATTTAGAGTGGGCCACCTAAATTGCCTTAAGCCCGCTTTGTTGCTTAAAGCTGTTATTGAAAATTTATAAGTTTGCTTTTTAATTTAAAAATATATATATAATTTACTACTCTAAAAAATCACACAACAATTAATAAAAAATAATTTTAAAAACATATAGCAAACAAAAATTTGCAATGGATTTTTATGAAAAAGTTATCTCAAACCCACTCCTTAAAAGTTTCATTGAGCAGCTGTGATTTTCTTCTTACAAATTATTCTTATTTATTTTTTTCAAAATAAGTTATTTAAATTAAATTTTGAGAAACAAATATGATAAGTTGACGCCATATTTCATCCAAAAACTTACATTTATTATAACAAAGAATATCCAAAAAATTTACAATCGAATGAATCTAATGTCAATTAGATAATATATATAACCCCTTTTTTTTTCTGATAGTGTTTCAAAGCTCTTAAATAATAGGTAAATGAGGGTGTTGCGATATATAGGGACTCATTTGCTCGATTGAAGTCAACCAATAAGTCATTTGAAAATAAAAAATTATCTAGTAAAATATGTGGATTCATGGATGTATATGCCGCCTCAGATGCAATCCTTGTTCATGTGTGTCAGTGATGACAATGTATACGTAGGCATAAGATAAGATGCACTCCAAAGAAAAAAAAACCTTTTACATTCTCGGAATTAATATTAAACATATGGCGAATTAATTATAGGAAGAATTACGTTCATATTTACCTAATTTTATAAAGTTTCAAACTGATATTTTTTAATTGGTTTTCTTAATTGGGATGCTATATTTCTTATTAGTACTAAAAACCGTTTAAGAAGCAGTAAGAAAAATCATCCCTCAAAATGAATTAGATCTATAGCATTTAGTTAGATATTAAGCGTTTGATGAACGATCAATCTGGAGACGAGAGAGAGAGAGTCTTGTATACATGGACTTACCCACTAGCCTCGAAAATGCTTCATACTTAAGGGGCTATATTGCCATCATTCACTTCTAGCATCATCATTTGTTCTCACACCTTAGTTACAGGCAAGGCGGAACCCTTGTGTGCAAGGGGGCAATGGCCCCCCCCCCCCCCTAAAAAATACAAATTTGTTTATTGATGGATTTTTAATATAATTTTTCTCATCCAATTCTTTTTTTTTTACTCTTTATTAATAGGAATACCCCCCACACTAAAAAATTAAAATAATATGATCTTTAGGTGATTGCCCCCCCTAAAAAATTAAAATAATATGATCTTTAGGTGATTGCCCCCCCTAAAAAATAAAAATAATATTAGGTAATTGCCCCTAGTAGAATTATACACAATGTGTAGATGTGTTATTGTTAGAGAACGATGAACAAAATACAAAGAGAAATAATAAAGAAAATCCAAAAATATCCTTACAGCCAAAATTTGTTCCGGGGGCGCTGCTATTGGAAACCCCCGCAGGGGCACTGCCCCTGAAACCCGTAACTTGACCGGGCAAGTCGAACCCCGTCAGGGGCACCCCCGACACATTGTGTAGAGGTGTTACCTAATTTTTGTTTAAGAATAATTATCATTATATAAGATCTTGATGATATTTTTAAAATGTATTCAAGTACAAATAATCATTAGTCACTAAAATGATATAATGATAATTATTGTCATTTAAGGTTAACCATGGAATCAAATGAATTTTTTTATTATGAGTTTGATATATATTGTTTAAAGGATCCATTAGTCAAACATTGTCATTTAAGGTTAACCATGGAATCAAATGAATTTTTTATTATGAGTTTGAAAAAAAAAATTCTACATTTTTACTTATAAATTTGCCCCCCCCCCCCTAAAAATTAAGGCCGGTTCCGCCCTTGGTTACAGGAAAATGCTTACTCAAGGGGTTCTCAGCTCGCCCTTTCACAATCATCAGACCATAGAGTTCACCTTCCCTAGAACTCAAACTCACTCATCCTTAACCCTAGTTGATTCGAAGCTCTAACACAAGTTGTTGGTGACTTCAAAGCATTTGCCAGCTACATATCTCTCCAACGAAAATTATTAGGTGCGGAGTGCGGACGGGGTGAGAACCGTCCGCACAGACACAGGGTACCAAGCGGTACCCAGTGGTACCGAGTGGTACCGAACGGTACCGAGCGCGATTTTATACTAGTGAACCGTCCGCACTCCGCACCTAATAATTTCTCCTCTCCAACTCATTAATCCCAAACGGATTGGTCTATGCACACACACCTAGATAGGTATAAACGAGTTGACTATTTGTCTATTTGAGCTAAATTTGTTTAGTTATTGTTGAGATCGTGCTCGTTTCATCCTAAGCTTGAGCTCGACTTGATTGCTTGAACTCATTTGGAAAACTCAAGATTAACTAGATTGCTAAGCTCGATTTATTAATTTAAATTTTGAATATTATTTTTTTAATAATTTTTATATTTAATATATAATTAATTTAAAAATATTAAAATATATTACATAAAATTTTTAAATATGTTTTAAGTTAATCAAGCAACTCAATGAGGTTTCGACCCGAGCTAGGCTAAGCTCAGGCTCGAGCTCGTTTAGTATACGAGCTTGAGTATCGGCTCTCGAACTAGACCTCAAACTAGTGGCTCGATAAGTTCAAGTCGTGAGCTCATTAGCTAGTAGAGTTCAACCCAGCTTGTGAGCCCGCTCAACTCACTTACACCCCTACTTACCTATTCACACTCATAACACTTGGCCACAAGACAACATATGTCTAGGATATTTTTATACTTAAGAGTCACAAAACATTGTATTTTCTATTTCTTTGTAGATGTAATCTTTCATGTAGCCTTATATTCTCATAAATAAATGATGATGTGTAAATATTTATATTTTTTTTCTTTGATCTTTTTTACTCTTGATATCTTTGGCATCATAAGCACTTGTACAACATATTTTTAATTGTGATTGTGTATAATTCTTTTCATTTTCACACAGTTTTTAAAGATAAGTTTTTAGGCCGTGTGTCATCCATGATCAAATTTAGATCTGACATCACCCCCAAAAAGTGAATCTTATATTAGTAATTGTACTTATAAATTATGGCTTCATTTGGAACAGCTTTCTCAATGCTTTCTAAAATAATTTTTTATATAAAAAATTTGAATTCAAGAAATTTTTTTAACTAAATCATTGTTTTAGAAAGCATTATGAAATTTGTCCCAAACGAACCTTTCATCCTTTATTATAACTTCTATTTTTAAAAGATTTTTTTATAAATAAATTATATTAAATTATTTTAAGAGTTTATTTTTTCCACCCGCCATCTTTTATATATTAATGAGTGACATCAATATTAGTTAAGCATGACTCATGCACAACCCAAAAATACAGCTTCTGCAAAATTATCGGCTTTATGTTACAGCGACGTGCTCAGAATGACAAACGCACTACGTCACTAATACGTACGTGGGTCATTTCGGCTCAGTGCCTTTCCTTGTACTCGTTGGAACTGGTTCAGCCAACTCGGTCTAAACCGGAGAACTTAAACCACGTTTTTATTCCCATTATTACATATTCTGTTAAACTCTGTCATATTAGTAAAATATCTAATTCAAATTTTAAGGCTATTTTTTTCGTATATTAAAAATATGTATGATTTCTCTTCATCAAATTAATCATTTATTTCTTCATAGCATTTTGTTTTTTCTGTTGATTAATCACTTAGGAAAAGACCAAAAACACCATAAAAAATAAAAAACTCCATCAAATTAATCATAGTATTTTGTTTTTTCGTATATATATATATTTTTCTAAATAAAAATTAAAAAAAATTAAAAAAAAAATCACAGGCCACAATCATAACGTCTAATGATTTGTATTGCACTTTATTACTATTACAGCATAGATCAATACATATTCAG